TGCCTTCACGATTATCACTGAGTTGTTCTAAGTGAGAAGCACCCACTTTGTTCTGGCTCGGACACTGGGACAGCCCACTTCCACACATTATTCTAATATATTTAACAACCAGGCTCTTCTCCTTTCGCACAGAACAGGACAGACAATGAAGACAGTCACTGAAAACCAGGGGCTCTGTTGGCATAACTGAGAACATCAAGGACGAGCACAAGGACAAAGGCCCGGCTGCCCATGGACAAGGCTGATTTCTCAGAGCGTAAGGCTTCCAAGCAACGGGAGGGCTTCCCTGACGATGGGGGTTTCTCCCAAACTAAGCTACATGCTGATCACAATTTTTCCTCGGAAAACAACATCCTGGGTGTCTCAGATCGAGTGATTCCAACAGCAGAGGACCCTCAAGAGAGGACTGCCCATGAAGGGACGTGCAGAAATGCAGGCACGGTTATGACTCTGGGTAAAACGACTGAACACGCTGCCAAGAAAAAATCTGATGAAGAGCAATGCTGCCCCCCAACTCTTCACATCCCAGCTAAGAAAGGGGACCGTTCAAAGTCAGACCTTTCTGATGTTTTGCAGCATCATTTTTCCAAAGAGGAGCTTTTAAAAGGCCAAGGCAGTCATTGTGAAACTCTCCCAGAGGTCTCCGGTGCGGACAGTCTTGATGAAGCCATTGTTAAAAGTTTTATTTTGCATTATGTTAAGAGTTTTTGGCCAAAAGAACCAACCCCAGAACTCGCTGACCAGCTCAACCCCCTGAGGGAAGGTGACATGGGCAGTGAGCCCAGCTGTTGCCCCACCATGACAGCAGAAAACACCTCTGAGACAGAAGAGCCAGTGGCTGCGGGAGACGGCAGCCTTCCACAAAGTTCCACTTTTCTAACTAAATCCAAGAGTCCAAGCAATAAACAAAAAGGCTGCCAAGGGCAGAAACTGCAGACGGAAAACACAAGATCAGGCCCTGGGTTCAAATATGGCCACGTCTGTTACCGGTTCTCTGATCGCTCTAGTGTTGCTCCCCAAGTGAAAATCCCTAAAAATAATACGATTGATAAACCGCTTCTAACAGATAAACAAGCCAGCTTTTCTCCTGAACTGAGAGCTGGGTTAGCTCTTGGGCAAGAAATTCCAGAAGGCATGGCTAGGCCAGACCATGCTGAGAAGGAAGAGCAGGAAAGGAAGACTGGGGACCGCTCCCAGCAGACAGAGGTAAGAGAAGTCGCCTCCGGAAACAGGCCCAGGCCGCTCCTCTGTGCCACAGCCGGTCTCTGGAAGGTGACTGACACCTGTTCCAGGTCTGAGGTTCTTGTTCCAGTTCTGAGCGAGTTCTGTGACCTCTCAGAAGACCACTGGGTGCCTCATGAGAAGCAGGGGCTGGAATAACAATAACACATCGTAGAATTAAATCCAAATTCTCCCACCTGGAATTTGAGTTTCCCCATCTTTTTTTAAAAATATGTTTTCATTGATTTCAGAGAGGAAGGGAGAGGGAGAGAGAGAGAGAGAGAAACATCAATGATGAGAGAGAATCTTTGATCGCCTGCCTCCTGCACGCCCCTCTCTGGGGATTGAGCCTGCAAACCGGGCATGTGTCCTGACCTAGAATTGAATCATGACCTCCTGGTTCATAGGTAGATGCTCAACCACTGAGCCACGCTGGCTGGGCTTCTCTAGTCCTTTCAGGTTGGAGAACTGGACTCTATAGGTTCCAAACCCATCATGTTACTGAGACATTCATAATCGTCAGCCTGGTGAGACCACAACCGTTTCCAGCGGTTCTCAACATGTGGGTCGCGACCCCTTTGGCGGCCGAATGACCCTTTCACAGGGGTCGCCTAAGACCATCCTGCATATCAGATATTTACATGACGATTCATAACAGTAGCAACATTGCAGTTATGAAGTAGCAACGAAAATAATTTTATGGTTGGGTCACAACATGAGGAACTGTATTTAAAGGGCCAGAAGGTTGAGAACCACTGGTTTAGCTGCTGGCACTGGCCTGTTTCTGAGCTCTGTGTGCTGTGAGTGATGGGCAGCCCCTCAATGCGAATCACTCTGGAATGTAAACTCCTGTCCCGCCTGTGTGAGCAGAAAGGGGCGTGTCCTGGTAAAAATCGCTGTCTTGACACCCGTTATGGAACGTAATGCACACTATTTTATGTTCTTCTCTAGGGTGTGGCTATCATGAGTTTGGTGTTAGTGAGAGCAACAGACCTGGTGAGAAGGCCTTATGGGGCTTGTGGTCTAGTTTTAGGAGAAATGTTTGCATGTTTCATATAATAGCATCAGACACGATAGTATTAACAGCTAATGTGTACTCAGTGCTTACCACATGCCTGAGTCTAAGTACTTAACACTTACTCCTCATAAGGACCCCAGGAATAGGTTCTGTTACTGTCCCCACTTTCCTGCTGTGAACTTGAGGGTTACGGTGATAAGTAATTGCCCTGGGCCACCCACAGATCAGTGTGGGAGGTGATTCAGCCTTGATGCAACCTGGAGGACCAGAACCATCAGCCATTCTGAATAATGGCGTCCTTGATCACTATCAACAGTAACACTTTCTTATCCTTTAATTATGCAGATGAAGCCTGCAACACACAGCCACCAAGAACATCTCACAGGTACAAGCGTTTTTCAACCTCTTTCATTTAGATACACGTTTAGAAAAAATTTTTAAATAGCAAATGGTGGTGATTGCCACCAACTTCCATTTTCAGGACTTAATAAATCTGCAGTGAACTTGAGATGAACGGTAGCCCAACTTATTCTCTCTTCTATAGGAACAGGATCTGAGACATGCCCCTGGAAGCTGTCATCAACCTCTCAGAAAGACCCTTCCTTGAGTTCTTCCATATTCCAGAAGATATCCCAAGGGAGAGAGATGTGCCAGAAGCTAAAAGAACAGACTGATCAGCTGAAGACTAAAGTAATACCTTTAAAGATTATGAAGAGTAGAAGTGAGCAAATTCAAATATAAGATACCATGCCACTCATGAAATATTGCATTTTTTTCACTGCAGGTGCAAGAATTTTCCAGAAGCCTAGTACAGGACTCCCCCAACTACGAGCAAGACGAGAGGCTGGTAATAAGTCTTTCCTGGGGAATCTGACACGGGAAAGTACAAGGGCTGCCCACCACCAGGCCTTCTCTGCAGGGGGCAGTGGAGGTGCTCGGGTGGAAACGTTCTGCCAGGGGTTAAGGGCAGTGACCTGTGCCCATGGCTGAACAGCCCCCAGAGGCCTGGCGTTGGTCATACATATATAACTCCCTAGAATGCTAAATCAAATTGAATTAAGCATTAAATATGTTCTTAATAACATATTTCAAGCTGGTTATATGGAAGCTCGAACAGAATTGTGCTAATGTTTATGAGATTTCTTCTTTCCCTTCACCATCTTCCCATCCCCCATTCTCCTTCCCGAAGTGCTGAGGCTCAGGTCTCACTGATTATTTGAGGGCTGGGGCTTCTTGTTACAGGAACGAAAAGAGCTTAGAATTCCTCTATGTGCTCAGCCCTCTCTCTTTCTCAGGGGATCTATTACGTATGGCTGTTCGCTGTTTTTCTTCACCGGTTGCCCCGTAATAAATCTGAGACCAGGGCAGGTCCAAGAGACCAGCACACCAGCTGTTAAAAGGATCACCAAGCCCATCCAGAGTCGATGGGTCCCAGGGGTGTAGGTTATAAGAATTACCAGGATCTGGCAACTCAATATATAATAACACTTCAAAAACTTAAAATTGATCCTGAAGCTGTGCTTTCAGGTCAAAATCTTTGGGTTCCACATCCTTGCTGGTTGTATTTAATCAAGTCACTCATTTATATTGTAACCACCACAGCCTTGTTCATCAGTGCCCGGGTCACGGGAAGTGGGGGTGGAGCCTGGCAATGGGGCAATACGCTGAGACTGTGAGAGCCAGAAATGTGCAAAGTGGGAGATGTAGTCTAGGCCACTGGGTCAACCGCAAGACATGGTCACAAGTCCTGATGTGAAGAGCACCAGCAAAGCTCAGGGAGGCTGTGCTTCGGAGCCCCGACGGCACAAAACTGGGAGGATCCGAACCTTAAGAGACGTTCCTTACTCATTCATTCATCACACTAATTAAATAACTCATTAATTCATTCAACAAACACTTATTGGTGCTTCCCATGTCCCAGACTCTCTACCAGGCATTTGGAGATGATGAAACTATTTCTTTTTCTAGCGGCGGATAGTCTCCTAGGAACAGGTGGGTAAATAGACAAGTGACACAAGCTTGAGAAAGGTTATAGGTGATGCTAAGGGCGGCAGGGAAGAGGCTCACCCTTGTTAGTCAGAGCAAGGCGCTTTAGAGGGCTTCCTAGGAGGACTCTGAGCTGGGTATTGTAGGAGGAATCTAGGTAAGCTTGGCAGAGGAGGGAGCAAGGGGTGGTCCAGGAAAAGGAACCAGCAGGTGCCATGGTCCAGGAAGGAAAGTGCTGAGCGTATGAGGAACCACATGGTGCAACAATTGACCAGATGGAGCCCAGGGTACTTGTGGTGAAGGGAGGAATGGACAAGACTAGAAGGGTAGACAACAGCTAGATCATTAAAGCCCTTTAAACCACACTGGGAGCTTGGATTTCATCCTGAGGTTGAGTGATGGGCAGCCTGGGGGACTTAAAATCAAGTAAAAGCAAACACCAAGGGGGCAAGACTGTAGGGACAGAGACTGGCTAGGAAGTCATATCCAGGGAACACGTTATGAGGACCTGAACCAAGGCTGGCAATAAGGATGAGAAGGGACAAATCTAAGGGGTAAGGAAGCGGGGGCAGATTGAAAGGGGTGAGTAAAGGGAGGGAGGAGGCTTGGATGAATTTCAGATTGGTAGCTTGGACAATTGAGGTCAGGAATAAAAGTGGAGGGTCCAGTTCAGAATGGTGTGGGAGGCAGGCAGGAGGCCAGTTCCGTTTGTGACACTGTGAGCTCCCTGTGGGATTTCCAGTTGGAGAGGTCCAGGAGGCAATTAGAACGATGGGCTTGTTTGGGCCAGAAATGTAAACTTGAGTGTAGCTGTGGGTTGAAGCTATGGGGTGTATGAGGTTACCTAGGCAAAGACACAGCGTAAGCAGTGAAGTCCGAGGTTAGAATCATGGGAAACAGCCATCCAGGGCAGGTGAAAGAAGCAAGGTCCCCCAAGGAGACTGTGAGGAGTGACTCTAAAGGCCAAGGCAGCCCTGGAAGGGGCCGAGTTGCAGAGGCCCAGAGAAAAGACAGCGTTAAGATGTAGGGAGTGAGCCACACCCTCAAATGTTCAAGGAAGGAAGGAAGGAATGCATGATGTGCCTTGGGTTTGGCAACCCGGAGGTCACGAGGGACCTTGGCAGCTCGGTTTCAATAAAGTGGTGGGTCTATGGAAGTCAGATTGGGGGAATTAAGGAGTGAATGACAAAGGCAAACTCCAAAAACCCAGGCTTTTAGGAACTGGGAGAACACAGAATTTTTTTAAAAATATATTTCTTTATTGATTTCAGAGAGGAAGGGAGAAGGAGGGAGAGAGAGAAACATGAATGATGAGAATCATTGATTGGCTGCCTCCTGCACACCCTGTACTGAGGAACGAGCCCGCAACCAGGCATGTGCCCTTAGCCGGAATTGAACCTGGGACCCTTCAGTCCGCAGGCTGACACTCTATCCACTGAGCCAAGCCGGCTAGGGCAGAACACAGAATTTTAAGGGGCCGAGCAAAGCAGGGGGAACTGGTTCAAAACACTGGCCTTCTGAAGCCTCGACTCAGGACGTTTCTTCCTGATGTTCAAGGGCATGTGGGGATTTGTGTTGGGACCTGAGAGGGGAGGGGAGGGGAGGGGAGGGGATCATTGACTGTGAGGTTTATAGAATCAGCGGCCTGGTAGGAACTAGGTGGCCTGCTCCAATGAGCAATCGAGGAGAGTTTAATAAGCCATCATTTAACAACAGTGTGGGCAAGGTTAGGGACAGAGGAAGAACAGATACTCCAGCCCAAGGAGAGTAGCTGTAGCTGTAGGAGTAGCTGACAAGCTCTGTGGCTTTTGGTAGAGACACACTTGGTGCATGATGATACCTGCAGGAGGAAATCAGGGAAACAAAGACCCCTACCTCATCCTTCTTCAGTTCTTCCCTCCTGTTGATGTCTATGGAAGGTCAGCCTCCTGGGTGGAGCACGGAGAAGGATGGAGGATGGATCTGGGGGGAGAAATGGAAAATATTTACCACACTTGCCTTTTTTTTACACCCAATAGCCAATGTTTCCAAACTTCTTTACCCATTGTTAATAATAATAATGATAGCTACCCACTGTTGAGTATGTACTATGCTCCTGACACTAAGCATTAGCTCATTTAATTTTCACAATATGAAAAAATTGAAGTTTAGAGTTCAAGTTCACTAAAATCATACAATTAGTAGGGGACAGAGTCTGAACTTGAACCCTGGTGGTCTGATCCTTTAACTCCTGATCCTTTTCTTGCCCTGGGGAATCTCTGATTCATCCTCTCCCCTCCATTTTCATGAGTGCTGCCTGGTCCAGGCCCTCCTGAGTACCCTTCAAGCCTGACTTCAGTCTCACCTCTTCCACTGAGCCATGGCAAAGTACTCCGATCCAGCCCAGGGCCAGATGTAGACATTGATCAGGGAATGTTTAGCGGCTGGGACTGTAGGGCTAAAGTCTCTATACTTCCAGACAAGACCCTGACCTGCACGGTTTACACAGGCACCTGTGTGAGGCTGCATGTGGTGACGTGGTGACATCTGGAAGACCCATTACAGCTTGGGGCTAAACTCCCAGCTGTTCCTTCTTCATCTCACCCTCTAAATGCCAGAGACTCAAAGCCAGGTTCCCTAAGCTCAGTTCCCTTGTAAGATCTATGTGGCATCAGACTTATTCCTTAGTGCTCCACATTCCTCCTCTATAAAATCAGGGTAATAAATCTACTTTGCAACATCTACAACACTGATGAGTAAGTTAAGTAAGAAAAGGAACAGAATGTATTCTAGAAGCTAAAAATCATTCTGCAAATATACAGGGTTATTATAATGTCCCATCAAGAGGCTCCGAGTGGGTTCTGGGAGAGAAATCAGAAACACTGAACTTTTCAGCTTTGTGCTACGAGGGAGGGTGGTATGTGGAGAAGGCCCCTGTCTGAATTTTAGATGTCAGACTCCAAAACAAAGCAATGGCCAGGAGAAGGATGACGGCTCTGTTTTGCATTACTGTAGGGCACACCCTCACGGGCTTGGGGGAACAACTCCATGCGCAGGGTTCCATGGGAATGATGCCAGTGCCTTCTCTGCCACAGGAGCTGCAGAAACTGCAGGCACATCTGGAACTGCTGAAGCAGGAGTTTGTGGCTGAGGAGCAGCTGACTTTGGAACAGCAAGTCCACAAGCCTAAATCCCCAGCTGTCAGTGACTATGACCCCAAAAGGTCAGGTTTAAACTGTGAGAGGTGGAAGGGTTGGAGAAGAGATCTCTTCAGGTGGGACGCGGATGTGGCTGCTGGTTTCGTGCCTGGGAGCCACGAAAGGCCCAGAAAGGTCTAGGGTCAGTAAAACCCCTGCCACCAATGAGTAGGTGTCACCGCATGCCAAAGACAGTGAGGAATTCCTGCTACGCGGAAGGTCCTGTGCTAGGTGATGACCAGATGACGTGTCCAGAGTGAACAGCTGTCTCCTGGTGGAGACAATGTGCCGCCATCTTGCATTTCGTGGATGTCATTAGAGTTGGTTCTGAGACGCAGAAGAGCACAAGAAGACCGTGGAAGGGCTCACAGTCTAACCCAGAGGCCCTTCCCTCTCCACGCTCCTGTTGTCTCCCTCACCCCCTCTTGCCCTTATTTTTCCTGCCTGGTTCTTCTCTCCTGCCCCACTCCCCCCCGCTTCCCCCCCCTTTCTTTCTCATCCACAGACCATTTCAAAGGGGCAGTGGGCTGGAGAGGATTGTTGTCAGGTTGGTTAATGTTGGGGTGAGGGACCCACAAATCCTGATAAAGGGAAAATGTTAAAACTTAAGTGATTCCTGAGCAAATCCACATTAGAATCTTGGATGCATACTTACACTGAAGTTTCCAACTGGCCATTTTTATGGCACCACAATCCTCTTTCCAACCCAAATAGCTTTAAGATGTATTCCAGGAATCAAGGCTCGGATTGTTTCCATATAATTTCCTGCTATGAATTAAAAGAATCCATTCAGTGGGCTTAATATTCGTAAGGTCAGCTCTTTCTATTCCTAGCATTTTAACACAAATCATTCTTGATGCCAAAATAGTTTAATGGCTTATTTTTTAGCACTTGCATCCTGAGGCTTTTTTCCCCCAAAGTACAATTTTACTTTTTCAAAAAAATGAATGAAACCTCTGTCTACTGTTATTTCAATACCAACTAATTAGACAGCAAGGATGGGGTTTTTTAATATTGATTTTTCCCTCCAAAGCCTTTTTAAAAAAAGATCTCCATATGCTTTCTCTATTTGTTTAAGAACGAAAAGAGTAAGGATATTTATTTTCCAAGGAATCCCACTGTTGGCAGGGGTTTTAAAGACAGGCCTCAGTGCACATGAAGACCAAAGTTATGCAATCCAGGCCTTATTTATATCCCAGTTACACCCACACTGCCTGGCCCCAGCATAAGCCAACAGAGTCCCAACTGCAATTATATCCCATACACAGGAGAAGCTTCCACACGGGCGAGCTCAGTAAACTCAGTGACACCACCTCGGGCAAGAGACGCTGCTCGGTCCCAGGCTGGTCCTCCTGCTCTCACATGGGCGTAACCTGTCAATGAGCAGAACCCCATGCCCTGGAGGGGCTGGTATGTCAAGAAGCTTCTAAGCCCTGAGACCAAAGGCCATTGCAGATAGCTTTTTCTGTAGAGAAAGAATTCTGCAGATTCATCAGCTAATCGCTTGTTGAAGTCAACTGCTGCACTCTTATAAAAACCTTCTTATTATTGCCTTTCAAAGGTAAGATGCAAAAATAACTGTTTGGATTTAATGCATCTTGTTTGTTAGAATGTTGTCTGGAAGTTGTTTGAATCTTTCACACACACCAACACCCGAAACCAAGGGGCCAAGAAATGGGATTCTACCTCCATCAAGCCCTGGTATTATCGTCTTTGGTTTTACAGAAAAGATAAATTCCCTCAAAAATATCTTTTCTCTGTCTCCAAATCTGCATGTTTTCACACACACACACACACACACACACACCTTTCTTCCTTCACTCACTTTGCGGCCTCTCCAGCCCCATCTCTTCCCACGACCTGCAGCCTGCTTCAGCGTTTCTCTTCCTTCACACGTTCAGTCTCTCCTTGTCCGCTCTTCATTCTCTTCTGCCTGCCAGGGCAGAACACATTTCCCCATATCTTATTTGATTATCAATATGGTTTTTCATGCTGAGATCCTAGTCCCACCACTTACTGAACAGGCCAGCCTTTCCCATGGTGGAAAAAGCCATGTTATCGTATACGAAATCTCCATGGGTAACGGGACGGGTCTGTTCCATTCCACTGACCTAGGTATCTACTCCTACGTCAACCACACAGTTTAAATTACTGGAGTTTAGTATAGATTCTGAAATGTTTCCTCCTGTTTAAACTTTCTTTAGCTATTCTTGCACTCTTTTATTAAAACTTTATCATCAGCTCACCAGACGTCCTTAAGAAAATTCCATTAGAATTTTGTTCAGGATCGTGTTGAATTTACAGATTAGTTTGGGAGGAATTAAAGCCTTTGCAGTGAGTATTTGGGTCCAGGAGCTTGTTTTCTTCATGTAGATGTGACACATTTTTTTGTTAAACTTGAGACATTGGAAGCACAGGAAGATTAAGTGATTTGCCTGAGGATGCACAGCCAATGGAGAGCAAAACAGGGATCAGAGCCCAGGCCTTTCAAGTGACACTGAAACAGGATGCCCATCAGGGCAGGTGTCCGTTATGGGTCCTTTCTGAGGACAGGCCATTTAATAACATAGATCAACGCCATGGTCAAGACCTGCTGTTACTCGTTAGAATGTTGACTGCATGCCCCACACGATGCCTTCTGTTCATTTAGGAAAGCGGAAGGTGAAGTCTCCAGGATGGAGATGCTACTTGAAGATGTTGAAGGGAAGGCTGACGAAGGCAAACACACTTCAGCTGGCTCTCTTCCCGAGCGTTCGCCAACCCCCCAAGGTGGCCTGCCATCCGCATCCTCTCCACCCTCAGATGAGGTAATGCATAACCTACAGCCCAATTCCATGCCAGGAATCCCGGGTCCTGTGCATTTATAGCATACGCATTCATGGAATTACAAAATTCTACTTTAATATTTCATAAAATTTAACTTCCCAAAGTCCCATGAATCATATTATTTTCAATGGAACCAGCTTGTAAAAATTAGAAGCTATTTCAAGTTTTGGTTTTTAAAACCTTTCATTAGTTTAGGCTGCAGCAATGTAGTTTATACTAATGAACTGCTGAAGAGCTATTTCTTCAGGACGGATAGTAATATTTCTGTGGATCGTGCCTGGAAGAAATAATTTTTCTTTTTAATGGTTTTGTACTCACTCTTCCAAATGAGAATGACACTCTCAGTGCAAGAGCTATTTCCATGAGTCCACATCTGCATTTCCTTTCTCGCAAGCTAAATTCTTTTGGATTGTCTAAAGATGCAATATTAGGAATTCCAATCCATCACCACTGTCTTTCTACACTTTTTACTTTTTGTAGCCTCAACTATTGGAACATTTCAGACTAAATTCTGAGAAACTGAATTGTCTGGATAATTGCCTTAACTTGATTCTTTGGTTTCAGCCGGTATGTGAAGGCACAGCCTGCGGCTGACGTTCAAAAGTTGAATAGGTTTTTGTCAGAGTCAAGGACAACATGTTGAGCATTATTCACAGTGGTGGGGCAAAAGTAGGTTTACAGTTGTATGTGTAAAACAGTGCTTATTCTTGTATTATGTATTAATTTTTTAAAAAATATATTTTGATTTTTACAGAGAGGAAAGGAGAGGGATAGAGAGTTAGAAACATAGATGAGAGAGAAACATCTATCAGCTGCCTCCTGCACACCCCCTACTGGGGATGTGCCCACAACCAAGGTACATGTCCTTGACCGGAATCGAACCTGGGACCCTTCAGTTCACAGGCCAACTCTCTATCCACTGAGCCAAACCAGTTAGGGCTATGTATTAATTTTTTATCAATTATTGTTTTAATTTCCAAAGGAACGTTGTAAACCTTTTGCCCCACCCTGTATAAATGTTAGCCTTTCCAAAGAAGCATGTTCACATCCTCAAAACACCTAGCTTCCTGGCAAAATCTCATTCATTTTAAGGCCCAGCTGCAGAGTTAGACCAGACAACTGGGAAAATATTAAGTGCAAATCAAGTTCAGTATCGAGATTTTTAGTACACAAAGTGCTCTAAGGAGCAGGACTGTGCTTAAGAACACAGCATTTGGGGAAAGGGGCAAATCCCAGCTCTGTGTGTTACTTGCTACTCTGGGTGACCTGTCAGGTTGCTTAAGTTCTCTGAGCCTCAGGTTACTCATCATTAAAATGGGAACAATGGCCCAGGGTGGTGGGAAGGAATAAGGAGGCTACCGGAGAAGCACCTGGCACAGGAGCAGTCAACAAATGTTTGTTTTCGTCATAAGGAAACACTGAAACCTTCCCCAAAACGAACGGGCAAAAATTGTGAACTAAAAAGTCGCAAGTAGGAAATACAACTATAATAAGCAAGCAGCTGGGAAACGCTTACCTCCTTTAATAGCAGAGGAAACGCTCATGAACGCAGGGTGCCGCCCCTTATTAAATTAACAAAAACATTTTCAACTGATCATTCCTGATGCAGTGGAAGGTGTGGCCACTGAGTGACCCACATTGTTGGTGGCTGTGTAATTCCCACTGTTGTGGAAAGCAATTTGCCAGTTCCTGTCATCACACAAACATGTTCGTACCCTTTGACCCAGACACTTCCTAAGGAAGTCATTCAAACACGGAAAAAGCTATCTGCACAATGCTGCTTGTGCCGGCACTGTTTATCACGGTGAGAAGGGTGCGTTTCTCTTCTGTTCCCCTAGAGCACGGCGGGGAAGGTCCAGCCCGTGGGCTGTAGAAGGCTCAGGAAATCATTTGGTCTGGCCCTGCCGAGACATTAGGGTGAGCTAATTAAATGTTTGACCAAGTGTAGCAGGCTAATTTTTAAGTTGATAATTTTGTATGGCCCTCAAATGATGTTATAAATATCCAGAAAAAAGGTTCCCCACCCCTGAAAAGGGTGAAACCACCGTAAGAAATACAGGCTAGGTGGTGTCAGCCCTTTCAGGCCAGTAATGCCATTTTTTTTTTGAAGTGGGGGTGGTACTAATTCCCTAAACTTGGTTGTAATTCTTAGTGGATTGTATTTTTTGGAAAAGCTTTCAGAGCTCTACTAACTGATGGTCGGATTGATTGATTTAAAATTAGCTTCTAACATCTGTTCGTCCTCTGGTGAAACCAAAGGGTAAGAAAAAGGGAAGAATACCCTCTCATCTGTACATGAGATTTAAAAATCTGCTTGGGGGAGGGAAGAAGACAGTATGTTGTGTTGAAGGTTCTTTCTCTAAGTCCTGGCCTACAGCACAGACCCACCGAGGGAGGAGTGAGAACCGAGCCGCCTGCGATGGTGAGCAGCGAGCTTGGGCTGCTTGCTGGGCAGAGCTGTGCATGAATGTGAGCAGCCAGGGGGTGAGTCACTTCCTGGGTCACAGCTGCATCTGTGTGCTTTGTGGTGCAGGACCCCCGCCACACCTCCGCCTCCGGAAGGCAGCAATGTGCAGAGACAACCGGCCGGAGCTGTGCCTTCTGCCACCGGGTCCTCGAATGGTGAGGGCTTCTGGCTGCTAAGCTGCCGGGTGGGTGGGAGCCGGGCCTAGAATAATGCCTCCAGTGAGCGTGGGCGTCAGCTCGCTGACCAGCTGCCAGAGCCACTGGCCCAGTTACAGAACCGCAGACCTCGGGGCTGGGCACACAGCCAGCCTCCCTCCCATGTACAAGTCCCTGTGGCTGTGGTTCTCCACTGGGGACAGCATCAAAGTCATCGGGCAGATGTTTAAATCATGCACACGCCTCAGCCCCACCTACTGTGACATCCTTGCCAGGGTGGGGCCTGGGAGGAATTCTTGTTTACATCTCCCGGGTGATCCTGATGAGCCCCTGGGGGAGAATCTCGGCTACAGCACAGGGAGGGGGGTCTGTCCTGAGGGCTCCTGGGAACACTGCCAGGTGGGATAGTGTCACACACCCCTGTCCACCGGCTCTCCACCACCACCCCACTGGGATGAGGGAAATTCCCTGTTGGGTTCCCCCTCTGCTCCCGGGTCCCACCAGAAATAAACATTATCCCACACCTCAGGGCTTACTTCTCCCATCACTCGGCATGAAATCTTCCAAGTTATAAATCACGCACACAGACATAAAACCCTACGTAGACACCCGTAATGCTTTGGAAATGCTCATTGGAGCAGCTGCTGGCCCATGTGAATTCAGCATCATTTATTTGAAGCTTCCATGGACTGGGGCCAAAGCCTGGCTAACTACCTTGGGAAGGTCAGGAGCATGGAGGGCAGAGCTGTTTGGCAGCTGCTGTTACATGCCCGTAATGGACGAATAGAAGCAGATGAGGAGGCTGACAGACTGGGGTTTCCTGAAAGAAAGCATTCCCCACGGGAACCGCACTCGTCATAAGTGTTCCATTGAGTTTCTGCCTCCCGCTCCCTACAAGGGACACAGCAAGGTGTGTGTGCTAACATCTACTGGTGTCACCTGATGAGGCTCAGGACTTTAAACCGCCATGTCCGTCATCAGCTCTGACTCTAAACACAAGGGGCACTGATGTGCTTACTCCCCAGTCATCCCTGCCCACTGTTTGTATTTCTAGAATTAAACCTAGATTCTGAATGATTTTTAGGTTTTATTAAGTATAAAATTTTTTTATGCTTAAAGAACATTTTCATCAAGCATTCATAAGGTACTAAATGTTTCTCTTCCAAATTCCTAGCATAGACCTAGAGGGACCAGTGCTCTAGACTAAATATAGCTTACTCCCCAGTCATCCCTGCCCACTGTTTGTATTTCTAGAATTAAACCTAGATTCTGAATGATTTTTAGGTTTTATTAAGTATAAAATTTTTTTATGCTTAAAGAACATTTTCATCAAGCATTCATAAGGTACTAAATGTTTCTCTTCCAAATTCCTAGCATAGACCTAGAGGGACCAGTGTTCTAGACTAAATATACTTTTCTCTGATGGACAAGATGGAGAGAAAAGCACAACCAAGTATAAAATCAGACCTAACAGTGAAGCTACTGCTGGGGAGGGAGGAGGCAGACATGAGTTACAAACTGCAATCTCGGTCAGTGCCGTAATAGTCCCCGAGGAATGAACTGAGCAGAGGGCTCCTCTTCGCTCTTTTAGCAGGAGCTCGCAGGTGGGGTGTGTTCCTTGTAAAGCTTACTGATGGACAGGATGCTGCAGGGCATTTGCAGGGTGGTGTGTCTGCATGCAGGTAAATGGCATAGATGCTGCATGCAAATGCTTATCCCTTTGTGTTGTTTCTGCGGCAGGACTGGATTTAAGCCGCTAAGACTGTCTTCTCAAGTAGAGTTGCCCTGAGCTGTTACATTTGGCAGGAAGATTTCAGCGCACAGAGACGCTTAAGAGGCAGAAAAAGAAAGTCGTGTTGGAATGAACTCACTAGAGTGAGATCCAAGTTTCCCACTTTGGAGAGCAGATGTTCAGAGGCCCCAGCGGAGGGGTGGAGAGAGAAAATGGGGTGTGAGGAAGTGTGACTCAGGAGGACAGAGTGTTTTTCCAAGAGGAGGGGAAAGGCTTGGCTTCCCAGCCCCAACCCCACAGGCACAGCAAGACCTGCCCGCTGGTGCCAAGCAGCACCTCAGACCCTCCCTGGGAATCGGTCTCAGCCCTGCCTCACCCGTTCGGGCCAGGATCCCTGGGCACGGCGCCTCCACACGAGGAATGAGCACCTTCCCCGGGGGCTGTTACTGTCCCCAGGGGCTGAGCGAGAGCTTTAAGAATGTTTGTGGGATTCCTTTGAAGGAGTTAGGATTTCTGTGAAGGAGGGAGTCTGAAGCAACAGGTCAGAGCAAGCAGCTGGTAAATGACAATTGTAGGGCATCTTTCTGATGCCCCCTGGTGGCCTGTACTGATAAAATTAAGCTCAGATGTCCCCCAGCCTCTAGACCAGTGGTTCTCAACCTGTGGGTCGTGACCCCTTTGGGAGTCTAACGACCCTTTCACAGGGGTTGCCTAAGACCATCGGAAAACACATATATAATTACATATTGTTTTGTGATTAATCACTATGCTTTAATTATGTTCAATTTGTAACCATGAAATTGGGGGTCACCACAACATGGGGAACTGTATTAAAGGGCCGCGGCATTAGGAAGGTTGAGAACCACTGCTCTAGACCCATAAACCTGGGACAAAATCCGTTTATGGACTCTTGGGAAGCCATGTGACCCATAGTGGCATACAGCACAGCTTCTTCCCCCGATAAGAACTGATTGTGAAACATGAATATGAAAAAAGCTCCAAATTTTATAATTCCAAACTTTACATCTCTATACTGTGTATGTATGTTGATTAGATATTATCCTCTGCAGAACAGATTCACTTTTTAAAAAAATACAATATTTCCTCTTTTAAAAAAAAAATATATTGTTACTGATTTCAGAGAGGAAGGGAAAGGGAGAGAGACAAATGTCGATGAGAGAGAATCATTGATCAGCTGCCTCTTGCACATCCCCTACTGGGGATTGCGCCTGCAACCCAGGCATGTGCCCTTAACTGGAATTGAACCCAGACCCTTCAGTCCTGGTTGGTGCTCTATCCAGTGAGCCAAACCAGCTAAGGCCAAACAGATTCACTTTTAATGTTTGGAAACTATGTCCTTATCAGGCTAAGCTGCACTGGGTACCACTTCTCAGGGGGAAGCTCACAGACAGGCAGAGGGGACCCCTGGGAGGACGGCATGCCCCTGCTGTACCGTCCAGGCTGACATAAGAAACGCGACATGTCCCCTTTACCAATATGCTCACTATCTCTATTCAAAGTATACTGACGATTCATGGGGTCTATGCACCTTTTTAGGAAGCAAACCCTGGAGAAAGGCCACAGAAGGACCAGCTGTGGAGGGCTTCCCCTTGCCCTTCAGGAAAAGGCACCTTATCCAGACTCACTTCTCGGTAAGTTGAGGGGGCTGGGGCTGTGGGTATTCAGTCTCCAAGGTCCTTTCCCTGTGGGGTCTGCTCATGGTGGGCGCCAGCTTGCCATTGGCCACTCCAAATAGCACTGCCTAGGCTGCGGTGTTGCATGTTTTTTTTTTAATGTAAAGAATTAAAAATAAATGATTTAAAAGATGTAGTCAGGTAGGTGAACGTGCCCACACCTATTTCTGGCCAACACCTCAGGACTGCATAGACTAGGTCCCTGGGTGGCCCTGGGTGTGTCACCCATCCAGCACGACCCACGTGTACACCTATAAGTTTCCCACCGCGTGAGATCTGCTGCCCACTTGTCCATGCACGTGTCAGAGAAGCACAGACAGTCAGAGCTGGGAGGAGACCCAGAAAGCACAGGGCATGGAATTCAATGGTTTTTAGTCCTAGGAGCCTTCTTCAATGCGAATGGAAGCAGAACATCCTCTGGCAGCTTTGCCCTGGGTGGGGAAGAGGCGGGCCCGGGCCTGCCTGCTCAGGCAGCTCCTGAGTGTGACAATCACCCCCAAGCCTTCTACCCCATTTACACATGACGAACCGGAGCCAGAGAGCGAACAAGGATTATGCCCAGAGAGCTTACCTTCATACCGCCTGTTAGCCAAGAGCCGTTTCCCAACTCACTGTTCTGTCACACTTAGTTCTATTTGTTCTCTGTAGATGAGATATTTTGTGATAATAAATATAGGTTTCACTGAACACTTATATACCAGATGCTGTAACAGAGTAGAGCTTTTCGAAGTGTGGTCGAAGGCCTCTGGGAGTCCCTGAGACCCTTGCCGGGACCATGAGGTCCTCTCCTTTCTAACTATACTGTATATTGCTGCAAGGCCAATATTGCAACAGACTGAATGGAGATGCAGGTATGGAACCCTGCTGTCTTCTATTAACCCAGATATTCAAGATACTTGCCAAGACATAAAGCATGCCACTCTTCTAATTTCAAAAAGTTAGCTTTTGTTAAAAAGATGTTCTGTTAATATGAAATGGATTGTCATTTTAAATGATAACCATAAGTAAAATATTTTTTAGATACTTCAGTTAAAAAAAACTTTTTTAAGCCTTGGTCTACCCAGTCAGTCTTGGAAAGATCTGAGTGATTGAAGCAAAAATGATTTTAAGTTTATCTATAGATATTTCTCTACCCACCCATCTTAAGCTGACTGACTGTTGAGGACAGCTCTTCTCCAGTGCAGGGGGACATTCCTCCACAGGTACAGAAAATGGTGTGTATCATGGTACACGGCAGGACACACCACCTCAGCAGAAGTTCTCTAGGGCTCTCAATTTTATGTGTGTAGAAGGGTTATAAAATCAAAAGTTTGAGAACTGTTGACGTAGTATATATAATTTAACTGTACAACACCCATGTAAGGTAGGAATTATCTTTAGAGATAAGGAAATGGTGGCTCAGAAAAATTAAGAGACTTGCCAGGTCAAAGAGGTGGTGTGTCATTACCTACTGCTGGGTAACAGGGGACCCCAAAACATAATGACTCAGAACAGCCAACACTTACTAGCGCGTTTCTGTGGGTCAGGGATTTGGGAGCAGCTTACCTGGGTAGTTTGGGCTCAGTCTCTCTCACCAGGCTGCAGTTAAGGTGCTGGCCAGCACTGATGTCATCTGAAGGCTTGACCGGGGCTGAGAATCTGCTGCCTAGATGGTCACTCATAGGGCCATTGGTTGCTAGAGTGTCACTAAGACCTGGTAGGCAGCTTCCCCAGAGGAAGGGATCCATGAGAAAGAACAAGACTGGAAATGTCAATATCCTTTATGACCTGAGTTTGGAAGTTATTCACCATCACTACTGCTTTATTCTCTCTGTTAGAAGCGAGTCACTAATCCAGCCCACCTCTTGAATAACATGTCAAAGAATATGTGGAAAACAAAACAAAAGAATATGTGGAGCCCTAGCTGGTTTGGCTCAGTGGATAGAGCATCGGCCTGCGGACTGGGGGGGTCCCAGGTTCCATTCCAGTCAAGACCACATGTCTGGGTTCCTGGCTTAATCCCCAGTGGGGGTTTGCAGGAAGTGGCCAATCAATGATTCTCTCTCATCATTGATGTTTCTATCTCTACCTCTCCCTTTCTCTCTGAAATAAAAATATATTTTTTAAAAAGACTCAGTAACTTTTCTTCCTATATTCTTCAAAGTAACCCAACCCTGTTACTCTTTATCATAAAACGTTGCACGCACATGTGTGCATGCACACACACACACACGAAGAATATGTGGACATATGTCAACCCATCCAGCAAAGGGGCAGAGGCAGGCCTCAACTTCAGGCCTGTCTGAATCTCTCTCTCTCTCACTGTGCAACACAGCCTTCCCAGGGTAAGTCCCTGTCCTCTGTAATTTCCTTGGGTTCAGGATCAAGAAGGCACTCAGTAACTATGCACTGAGTGAGGTTCAGGGAAGAAAAGAGTCCTTTCTAGAGCTCCTCCCATTTGTGACTTACACTTTGAAAGACCAAGTCCCCGACAAGTGAACTCATGGATGCAGTGGCTGCTAGCAGTGGCAGAGGCTGTGTCCCGGCCTCTTCTCTCCTGGAGCTGAGATGCGGCTTGGACACCCGAGCCTGCGTGCTCACCTGCCTGGCCCAGGCTCCCACCCCGTGGCATCCCCTGGAGCATCCCACTGCCAAGCAGGTTCTAGACCTGCACCAGACACACGCTCTCCACCACTGGCCTCGGGTGACACTGGTGAGGGCACAGCTGATTCAAGTTCCTACCTGGGCTTATGAACTGCCTTGGGGAAAACGATCTTTCTAACCGCCTGGGTGACAAAACACGAGCTCCTGGCCCACAGCAGGGGATGAGAAGAGAATGTGGATCTACTGGGGCAAATCTGGAAAAATGACTAAATGCAAGATCATCTGATAACTCTGAGGGCCAAATTCTCACAGGCCCACTGTTCTGCGGGCCTTTACCAAGCACCCACGAGTGCTAGGCAAATGGAGGCTCTCGTATCAGAACACCTCTCCGCTGTCAGGAAGGGACCCTGAATGTCACTCCTGGGATGGCAACTCCCCTTGGTAACCACGGGGAAGTAAGATACTGTGGTGTCTAGTGCAGACCTGGCCCGGCTAGAGCTCTGCTCGCCACACCACATTGTATGACTACGACCGAGACTCACACTTCCTTGGTGTCACGGGTTTCTTCAGGTCCCGATACAGGACTCCGCGGCTCTTCTGCTCCCGGCGCTGGGCTGCAGAGCAACACCTGCGAGACCTGTGGTACTAGGACTCCCAACTGCCCCAGAGGCGGCCGGAAAGAACCACTTAAAGGTCAGGGCGACCAGGGAGCCTCCAAAGAGGTCAAAGTGGGGACAGCTGTTGTTCCCAGGCAATGAGTCTTATTTTTAATCTTTCCTTTTTAGAATTTCATTACAGATACGACACCCCGGGACAGAATTACTTAAATCATAGCAAAGGGAGAGCCTTTGTCCAGTTCCACTTTTTAAATGAAAATAAGAATTCTCCACCTTGTAAGTACACCTCCTCCATGATCCCATCTTTGTGAACAACCCAGTCTCCCTCCCAGGCCTGGGAGACCCACACTGCTCCTTCTTCTCCTGTCTGCTACTCCTGAGGGGGAGGGAAGCCTCGCTCCTAGAGACCAGAGGGTAAGACAGGAGGCCTGGAAGGAAAAAGAGGGGAAGGTAGAGGACGGAGGAGGGGTGACTTTAATACACATATCTTTTGTTTAGTCTCTAATTTCTAGAATTGTCCTAGTGACTTAATTTCTGACTCTTAGAACCCTAAGTCGGAGGGGACTTCAGGAATCCAAGTGGGTCAACCTCTTGGGAGACATTACCCCTCCACCTTCAGATGAAGTCATTGAGCCCAGAAAAGTTAGACCACATGCCCAGGTCGCACAGCTAGCACCCAGGGAACCTAGACTCCTGGCCTCTTGTCTGCTAATAATTCCTTTTAAAAATGGAATTTCTTTCCTGAATTCTCTGACTTCAGAATACTTGATACAAACTTCTTTGTCTCCCATGTTCCCCAATTTTCTTATTTATTAAATTTTTAACAAATGTTTCATTCACATAGAGAAGTTCAGGAAATGATACCCACATATCCACGATTTGGGGATCGTTTCTGATGCTCTGAATTTAATCAGAACCAACATTTTCCAGCTTATTCAAAACCAAACTGGATCTGTTCCCAGAGAGCAAATTCAAAATCCTCTCAAGATGAGCGTGAGCCCAAACCAGGAAAGTAAGTATCACTTTCTCATTAGTAATGACGACAAGAATGGCTACCCATTGGTTGGGTGCATACTATGTGCTTAATGCATTCAATTACCTCCCAAGATCATCTAGATTCTGATCCTAAGTAGGAGAGCCGGATTCAAACTGAAGTCTGGCTAAGACGTCAGTCTTTCATGTGTTCACTCACCACGTTATCTGCACGTCCACAGCAGGCACTGTGCTAGCTGCTAAACACTGTGGACTCTGTCCCTGCCCTCAGGGAGCTCACTTTTTGGGAAGAGGAGGTTGTGTGTGAGTGCCAAGAATAGGCCACTCAAAGTGCTATTATCTAATACGGGGGTTCAGGGAAGCTCAACTCCAAAGATTAAATGAATGAGCTAGCAAGGGAAACAGGGGGAAGAGAGACCCTTCCAGTCTACGTGAGCTTCCAATGTGGGAAGGCCCTGATGTGGGAAGCTCAGCTGCGGTCATCCACCAAGGCACTGTGACAGCGGCAACACGGAGGGTGCCGGCCTCCACACCAGCACACAGGCACCCTGCACCCCAGAGCTGAGGGTGGCGCTTCACACGAGTATCCTTGTGCTTTTGCCTTCCAGAAAAACCCTTAAGGCTCCCATGACCTCCGCTTCAGACCTAGCTACATCCTCCCCCCATTTCCACTCTGGCAGGGTTTCTGGAAGCCAATCCTTAAGCAACGTTAGCAATGACGAAGAAACGAAATCTGAGGTGAGGACTCAGAAAAACATTCTAGAATCTTTGCAGCTTGTAAGTTTGGTCTTGCTGACCACAAAATTGATGGCTTCTAAATTATTACAGTACGGAGCACCCAAATGCTCTGCTAACAACAGTGTGTGCTCAGCACTAACCTAAAGACAGAGGGTCTGAGCAGCCACGTGGTGTGTGCTACTCCTAAACTGGTTCCCAGGGAAACTTTGTGGGCAGTGCCTCAGCTACAGGATCCCCTGGCCGCTCTCAGGACTGTTCCGCCGACAATGGGCTTAGAGCTGCTAGCCACATATTTTTTCCAATCAGAAACTCGAATCCCAGGCCACTTCCCAAGGCTTGTGCACGCATGTGTGGTATCCCTGCCCTCTCAGTGGTCATGTCCCCCAGTCCCCTTCAGTGGCCCCAAGAACTTTCCTTTTCTCAGATCTCTTTCTCGACAGCAGGGAATGGGCCCAGCAGGTTTCTGACCTCACCCTCTGGTTCATGCTCATCAGTCACGTGTCAGTCCTTTTTCTGTCCTTTGCCCTAAAAAATACCTTCCATCTCTGACTGGTTTCCTAGGAAACCAACTCTCAAAAACAGAAACAGACCTGGTGGAAAAAACAGAATCAGACCGGGTGGAAAAAAGAGCACTCCCAATTCCACCTGGCAGTGTGTGATGACAGAACTCAGTTAACAAGAACAGTGGCAAACGTGTGTGACTAAAATAGGCGCACTTGTCCTCCGCAGGGTTTAGCCACGTCTCTGGACCATGCCCTGAGGACAGCCAACATTTTGAAAGAAACAACTGATCAAATGATCAGAACTATTGCAGAAGATCTCGCCAAACTACAGAGATGGAGGAATCGACTGAAATACTAGTTTGATGCAAGGTGACTGGGGATGTGAGAAAAAAAGAAAGGCAAAGAAAACTTAATCTTCCCCTCAAATTATTTTACTTATTACACAATTTAGAAGGATAAATTTCTAGAGAAAATGCCAAAACCATAAGAAATGGGGAACACAACGGTACTTAAATGAGAAAAAAGGGACCTCTGATTCTTATACTCTAATCAACAAGTATTTATTTTAAAATAAATCTGTTATTCCTAACACATAAGAGAAATTAAAACATACTTTTAGTTATTAGTATGGCAAAAAACAAACACGTTGGCAAACCCAGTATTAGAGGCTGGGGGAGACAGGTGCTCTCAGGCACTGATGCTGGAAGTACAAACTGGTGCAAATTCTATCAAATTCGACACGCACTTGACCCGAGCAGCAATTCCACCACCAGCTGTTTACTTCACAGGTGACTCACCCAACAGGCCACGGTATGTGAGGGAGGATGGCCATGCGGCACAGATGGGAACAGACCCAACTGGAACTAATCTAAACACCCAATGTGGCCATTCATAAACACAGATGTCGTCATACAATTAAGACTCTGCAGCCAGTGAAAAGAATGAGGTGGGTTAATCTTCAAGATAGTGGGGGGGGGGGGGGCACGATGCCTAATGACGCACAGGTGTGATCTTTTGTGTCTGGTCTTCAAAGGGCACACACACCACTGGAAAGCACACAGAAACACCGAGTGGGCCTCTAGGAAGAGGAACCGGGAGTTCTGCGGGGAAGTGGAGGGACTTTACATTGACTTTCTGTAGTTCTTACAAAATTCTCATAGATCATTTGGGTGAAGATCTCTTAAAGCCAGATATATACAAAAATGACAGTCCTAGCTCTAGGTTCATGAAATTTGGGACACAAGTGAAGACAATTGGGGGGGCGGGGGAGGAGGTAGAGCAGAGGCCAGACTCAAGACTCCTCTGACTTTGTGGCCAAGTTCACGTTTGGCTGCGGACTGTGAGGAAGAGTCAAGACTGTTGGTCGAATTTTAAGAGGAAAAAAATGGGGCTTAAACTGTGTATGTGCTCAGGGGCTTCCAGCTTCATCACAGACCTAAACTCATCACAGCTTGAGAACCTGTTTGTGTACCAAGCATTGCCACCCTGTCCCCAAGTTTAAAGTCACACAACTCTCTGGCTTAAGGTGTTCTTAAGCGACGCATTGTTTCTTGCCCTTTCTGGGGTTCAAGCCTCTCCGAGATCTGATGAAACCTGTGGAGTCTCCCTCCCTATGCGTCAACTCTCCCACAGAAAAGCGACATGAACAGGAACAACTTGGCACCCAGTTTTCACAAGTCCATGGGCACTGAACAAGCCCATGGAACTCCGGGTAGAAAGCAGCACCATCAATGACCTTCCTGACCCCTCGCATTACCCTTTAGAGGAGCTCACTGCTGAAATCATTTTTATTTAAAAACACAACCCACCTCTGCTGTATGTAGCTGTATTCTAGCTGTAATTTCTCATCTCCTTGATGACTGAGGGCATTAGCAACAGTCACTGCACCATGACTCATCCGAGGCACCGAAGTAGGGCAACCGCCTTCAGGCTTCTGCGGAAGTGCTCCAGGCTCTGATTTACAGATAATGTGAGATTTACTGAGGCTGCAGCTTTGGCTGGGGCCTCCCTCACGCAACTTCTCTGTGCCAAAGCTGATAGACCTCTCTTCCAATCCTGCTGCAGGAATAAACCAGAAAAACAAGCTTGTTAAGCAACAGGGATTGTATCTCCAAATGCTGAGTCACAGGCTCAGGACTGCTGGGGGCAGGGGTGTTGAAGACACTTGGCACCCGCCACAGCAGAGAGGCCTCTGTGCTTGCTTTCTGCTGG